ACCTCCTACTATATATATATATATATATATATATATATAACACTGACAATTACGCTGAGCTCACATACCGTTCTTTCTGATAATCCACTTGTACTTTCTCTTGATGACACTTTGTAAATATTGTCTTTGCCCTTGCTCTCCATTCCAATCCAGTAAGACTTACAATGTTCTCAAATTCTACTTACCATACAGTTGGTTTGTGAGACTTCATGTTGGCATGCACCATTGTTTCCTGGTTTGTGGCAGACAAATAAACTGTGTGTATACTCAAACGATTTCCATCAGTGTAGCTCCATTGGTGGTAGCAACACTGGAAGTGTTAGTGTAGGTAAGGCTCCAGATATAAATAGCCACCAGCTGTTTATTCACATGTCATTTTAAACCTTCAGAACAGCTCTATGATACTCAGTGGTAATATTGCTGGAATCCACCTGTGGCCTTGTCTAATCTAGCACTTCCACTGGTGCAGCTGTAAATGAATTAGTTAATATTTGCTGTATCTTTGGAACCATCATTAGACAAAACTGCATTCAAGGCATAAAATTCCTTTCTGGAAATAGTTTAGTTGGAAATATCTGGTTATAAAGCTACTTGTGTATCTTCCAGTGTCACTGATAGTTCAAATGTCTAATGCCATCAGGATGTTGAAATGCCAACTGAAATTAAAAATCTATTGCGTTCAAATACATTTCAGTGTGTGTTCATGGAGAGAAGTGCTGCATGTTCTGTGAAAATGTAGACTACTGAGCAAACTGAGTAGTTTTCCATTATTTATTAACTTACTATTAAATTGCCTTTTGAGTATTGATTGTGTGAAATTTGCATTTCTTAGGACATCCGAAGCACATCTAGAGCTGCTTCTCGTATTCATAGCTTATATAGACTTACCGCTCGTAAACACAAAATGGATGCTGAAAGAACTCTTTCCAAACACAAGATGCACACATCCATGAATGGGAGTTTCTTTGTTCCCGTAACTCCTGTACGAACAAAAGTAGTTTCACGGTAAGAATTTTAAATTAACCTGCTTTTTTTTCTTGTGAAAATATACTGTTGTCTAATTTCAAGCAATTCTTTTTTCAGAATTAAACCAGACTGGGTTTTAAGGAAAGATAACATGCAAGAAATTGTAGATCCTCTGCAAGCTATTCGAATGGTAATGGATACACTTGGTACCGCCTACCACTAAAATGTAGATACTATCTTTGAAAATGTGTGTGTATATATGTGTGTATTCAAAATGGTTAAATGCTTTTAAGGGGGGAAACAAATTAGTGTCAAAAGTGATTACTTAAAGATGCAAATTTACTCCACAATTGTCATTTTATTTTGTATTATGTACAGGTTTTTTTTTTTACGCTACTTTGTACTAATGCCTAAAGCAATTGTACAATAAAATACTGAACTGCTTTGAAGCTCTTGGATGTTTTTTCTTTCTTTACTATTTCAAATATACTGTTTTTATGCAGCTGTAATCTTATAAAAAACAAGGCAGCATTTTAACATGCAGCTTCTCACAAAGGCTGAATGTGTTTTGAATGTCTATTTGGCAACGAGGAGCAACTATTGGTGTTCAAGTCAGCCTGCAGAGATGGTATATATGAGAGGAAGGATCCTCCAGTGATTAGAGGACTCCCTTGGGCTGTGGGAGACCCACATTTCAATTTTCATTCCATTACAGATACTCTGGGCAAATCACTTAATCTGTGCTTCAGTTCCCGGTCTATAAAATAAGGATAATAGTACAGGGGAGTGTTGGTAAGGTCATAATCCTTATCTTCATTTAGACCCTTTCTTCCTGGGCCTTCAGTTACTGACAGGACTCTTCCTGTTCAACCAGCAGTGAACATGGATGTAGCCCTCCACAGCATCTCCCTTAAATGTTACTTCTTTCCTGCTTCTTACCCACATCTTTCTGAAACAAGTCTAAGGAACAGCACAGAAAGCATTAAAAAGAAACAAACAAAAACTGCATAGGGAGTCTCTTTGGAGGAGGAGACTTTTTCTTCCTCAGAATCATTCTGTTGAGGGCTGGCTTTCTGAAACCAATTATTTAGATAGTCTTATTGACAAGGTACAAAACTCCCTCTCTTAAGTGATAAAGAAGACTTATGTGCATAATAAAGTGAAAGCCAAAGGAAGACCATGCCTTTCTGGTCCCTGAATCATCAGGCAAAGTTGAACTTCAAATGGCTGTGCTCCAGACGCATGCAATCCACTGGGCAGGTTTTTAAACAAAGTTCTGAAGGTCAAGCACTCAAAGTTTTCTAGACTCCAGACCCCTAATTACAAACCTTAAGAGAACTTCTAAGAAGTAATCACTTGTGAAAGCATTGGGAACATTTTCACACAATTTTTAGTGACCTTTTTAAAGACAATGTCTGCGAGATGATTCCTGTTATATGTCTAAGACTATTGGATGCTAGCAAATAACCCATTCATGTCTTATATGATCTTATATGGGGCTAGTCTTGCCAAAACAAGCAGCTAACAGTGGAGTTTCTGTGGGTGTATGCTCTGAGAGAAGAATGATTTTGTGTTTTGAAAGTGGTCTTGATTTGTGAGTGACTTGCTGCAGGTGTGTGGCATAACTCGGTGCTTTCTGAGTATCCCTTAACAGGAGGGCGGTACTGCCCTAGTTTGGCTAGGTTTAAAAACCAGTCACTAGCAAATATTGGAGCAGTGAACAGCTAAAGTGGAGTTTCAGTGATAGTTGTGGGGGTGGGGGCCTCCTAGGAATTGGGTCTGGAAAGAGATCGGCTACTGAGTTAGCACAAGAACTGACCTGAGGAGGAGAGGAGACAAAGATGGTCAGATGCAGAAACTTTTGAGATGTATGTTGGGAAGGAATTTTCCCCCCAGGTCAAATTTGCTGTAATCTTGGTGGGTTTTTGCATTCTGCGGTATGTGCGTGTAGGCCTCTTGCCAGGATTATGTGAGTATATCTGTCATTTCCCTGCCATTGCAGGGGCCTATGGTATTGGTGCATCCTCCTAGCCTCTCCCTGTGACAAATGGTCTAGACTTCTGTGGGCTGTACTATTTGGGTCTAATTTTGGTTGTTGGGTTGTAGGTGCTGGGTGGTGTTGGCAGCCCGTGAAATACAAGAGGTCAGACTAGATGATCTGATGGTCCCTTCTGGCCTTAAACTCTATTACTCTAACTCAGTGATTCTCAAACTTATTTGATAATTCCCCCCCTTCTTTGTGTCTATAGTAATTTACACACGCACACCGTGCCACACAAGTACATATACCAATATATGTGGTGGCAGCACTTCACTTGAATCCGTTTCGGCTTCTTTGTTTTTCACTTGTTTTTTTCTTGTTGCACGAATGAGCCAAGGATCCATTGTGAGAAGAGCAAAAGCAAAATTATGATTGTGGTCCATGCTTGCAATTAAATGTGCACACTGAGTCATAGCAAACGGATTAACATACAGATGGCAATGACTTTGTGTAATGCAATGCATGATATATGATCGAAATCTGTCAAAATACACAGTGCCGTATAGAGTCAAATGCACAGCACCATCTGAGGACCTGAAAGGTCTGGAGGAATCAGCTTTTCTAGGTATTCATGTTGTGGGTAAAATGTGCACAGTACATTTCCCCTCTTCCCTCCCCCTAAAGCTTGTGCCCCCCCTGGAATGTATTCCATGCCCCCCCAGGGAGCCAGCCCCCCAGTTTGAGAACCTCTGCTCTAACTCGTTAAAAGCCCAAATGTCAACATTTCCCAGAGTTACCCAGTCTCCACACAACTTTAGCAACTCCAAGCCAATATACCTGAAACAACATGCTACATTCTTGAAAGTGTAGGGGAAACAAGAAAGTGTTCAATATAGATCTAGCGTTTCTTGTATTTGGCCATGTTTGTTAAATCCTGTTTTCCAAATTGCAGAAGGCTGCTGTAACAAAGGTAAAGAAAATCCCCTTCCATACTTCCTGTTTATAGTTACACAGAACTCAACTCTTAAGTTGCACCGTCAGATCATGCACTGTATTTTTAGTACACTTACATAAGCCATCACAAGTGTGTGTGTGTGTGTGTGTGTGTATATATATATATATATATACACACACACACACACACACACACACACACACTACTTGTG